TTTTGTTGCATTTAAAGTTACAGGAAGAACACAATTGCAGAAGAAACCTTCAGTGAATTAACACAAGAGCCATGCTTCACTATTAGATACAGAGGAAAAAAAATGTAATCCCATTTAAATCAACTATGGTATTCATGCTCAGCAAAACTGATCCTACTAAAGAAACAGCCTTAATATGAAGCTAAATTAGAAGGACATCAATGTGATCCTACTTAAATGAGTAACAATAGAATTCAATCATGAAAAGATATTCAAGAAAACCAATCCGTTTTGAAGATGATGAGCAACTAAAAGAGAAGAATAGAAATGGGAAGATACCGATTCTTGCAAGGCGATTAACCCAACTGGGAATTGGATTTCCAGTCAATCTAATACAAGCATCATTGCAGAAATGGTTGCAGTTTTTGGTGATCAAATTATAAGCATTTCCTTTATAATGCTCTGCTAATTCCTCCATCACCGTCCTCACCTCTGCTGGCCCCAACTCTGTTTTCCCTATCAAAATTGTCTTTCTAAATGTAAATCCATCACACTGTTTTGGTTCTCCCTCAAAAATTCCTGTGGTTGAGTACTCGTGAGCTCCGAATGCATATTCAACGCCATGAACTGCATCAAAACAATTTCCTTAGAATTAAACCTCATCTACAAAAACACCAAATTCATTTTCAATTCTTTCCTTTCCTGGGTTTTTCCACAAATCCATCTCGATAATTGAAAATTGAACTTCCTTCAGTTTGATTATTCCATAAATTACCATACTCCAAAAACTGTAGAAAGGGATAACACATTGGTCTCCCATTTTCTGACCAACCAAACAGAAATATAACAAAACAGTTCCTTCTTCCTAAATCTGCAAATCAGGTCACTTGAAGCTCACTCAGCATATATATATTAATAGGGGTGGGTGGGTGTACAGTGATCTGCATTATTGAAGGAAACCCGGAACAGCAAAAAAACACTGAAACAAACTCAAACACAGATCTAAACTACAGTACAAATTTCACCCAAAAAAATTTCAAAAAAAAAATAAAAAAACAAACTCACTAAAACCCAACAGGGAAGAGAAAGAGAAGAAGAGTAATACAGAAATCTCTTGACATTAAAAAATGAAGAAGGTTACAAACCTTGAACACCCGAGTGATAAACACCGAGTCCAAACCAATAAGCGTAACCATTAATGGGTGTCAGATCATACACATTGAGGTACACCGGTACCGATCCCGCCACCTCGCAGCTCGAAGTTTTCCGACACAACATTTTAGAAAAAAAAAAAAAAAACTAACAGGGTAAAAAAAAAAAGAAAAAAAAGAAAAGAAAACGAAAGCTTCGGCGAAGTTAATCTATGATATCAGTGGTGTCATTTTCAACTTGGTTTCCATCAACAACTCCTCTCTCAATCAATGTTGCCCAGCAACAGATCGCTACATAACCCAATTCAACTTCTTTAAATTTTAGTACTCCCTTTTCCACAAATCGAATCCCACTATAGATTTTCTTTAAGTTTCTATTTTCAAAATCTGATTTTTAACCCCAACAAAAAGAGAGAAAATTAAAAAAGAGAACGAGAAAGAGGGGGGAAAAGAGAAGAAGAGAATCTTTTAAGCTTATGGGTACCACCGGCTGCAGGAAAGTGCCACACCCGGATTTTTAATTATAAAAATATTATGATATTACATAAATGGGCTTCGAAGTGTGTTAGAATTACAGAAATGCCATAATTTCTAATTATAAAAATAATTAAAAAGTGATTATTTAGAGAAGAAAGGCATGATATGATGGTGGCTGGTTGAGTTGGGAGAATTAAGATATAATTAAGAATATGATTAGTGGGGAAAAAAGGAATTAGAGACGATCATGATTTCAGGAGGCACACATGAATGGTGGGGCCCACTCCATATTTATTTTAAAATGTTTAATCACGGAAAATTATATTTTAAATATTTCTCTTCTACTTTTCTTACTACTTCAAATTAATAATTATGCTTTAATTAAAACATTTTTTTAATATTATTATATTTAAATATTTTAATTATCAGGCTTTAACAAATGATTATTTTTCTTCTCTTTAATGTCTAAATATATTCAACTTTAATTTTTATATATCTAAATAATTTATTCATTTTTTTATAGTAAATCGGATAATTCAATTGATAGAAGATAAATATATATATATATATATATGAGTGATTGACCATGAGAATATATCTATCCTTCAAAATTTTTAAACATAAAAGATATACATACATGGTATATATTATAGTATATTATCTTCTCTTGAAAAATTTTGATGTGAAATTATTTGAATCTCTCTAAAAATTTTTTATTTATTAATATTTTAATAATATCTTAGTGATAAAATTAGATATAAATTTATAACATTTTTAAACGAATAAAATATTTACAAAATAATAATAATAATAATAATAGAAGTATAAAAATAATTTATTCTTATAAAATATTATTAAAAATATAATTACTTTAATTATATTGTATTTAAACTCCACGCCTAAATTTACCTCAAATGTTTTAAACGAAGGATGAAGGGCTTAAAGTTATTCCATCTTCGCTCCATCTTTCCTTAAACCCTAGCTCTGCAACCACTCGCCGTCAATGGCTCGCGTTATCAGAGCCCTGAGTAGAACCCTTCGTTCTCCTTATCCTAGATGTCCAGTTCCTCGACAGAGCCTTACGGAAATCTGTCTACAGAAAAAGCAGCTTCACACTTTTTTATTTAATCCAAACTCTTTAATCTCTACTAGGAATTACGTTTCAGAAATGCGCAAATCCGCCTTTGAAGGTAACATTCTGAGACTTATCCGTAGTGAGATCAAGTACGAACTTGAGCAGGACCCTCCCAGACAGGTAATCTTAAATCTGTCTCTCCCCCACCACATTTTTTTTTAGTCTCATATAACTTCTTCTGTTTTTTTTTTCTCTTGGTGAACTGATATATATATATATATATATGTATATATGTTGGAAAAGTTAATCCCTTAAAATGCACACAATCACAACAATACATTTAACGCGGTTTTGTAAGTATGCCTACATCTACAGAGTAACATCGAGAAAAAACGTTTCCACTGTGATAAGTTGAGAGTGTTTCACCGATAAGGTCGTAATAGGCCCTTATATAAAGAAATTACCAGAGTTTTTCTCTTAAAATATTTTTTAGAATAAATATAAAACATCCCTCGAGATACATATAAAATATTTTCACAAGTCCACATCAACAATATGATAATGTGGTAAACTTGTATAAAAACTATGGTTGTTGGTTACTGTTTCTATGAGATAGTGCTTGGAGAGGGTGTCGTTGGGTATTAAAGACTTGCCAGTGTATTTTCACTGTCACTGATGGTTTCTCTGTTTGAAAGTTGAAGCTGTAGACTTGCTTCGCTAAACCTGATAATATGTCTAATCTGCTGAAATGGAGTAGGCTGTCAACTGATTTAGAAATTAAAATTACAGGTAATGTGTGTACTTATAGGTTTTACCTTTGAGAAAATTTTATTTTCTTTACTGAAGGAAAAGAGATAAAGAAACCAGGTAATACAGATTTTAAGGTTTGAAATATAAATTACAGTACTAGAGTTAGAATTGAGGATAATTCAAGGTCTTTATCTCATTTCTTCAGGACCCTTCCCATCAGATATCCTTTATAATCTTGACTATACTAACCACCCAACCATATAAAATGGTTTTCTGCAAACAAAATGTTTCTCCTTTTTCTTTTTCTTTAAAAACCCAGAGGGAAAAGTAGATATTATCAAGAAGGTTATATCCTGGTTGGTTGGTATTTGACATCATTTTGAAGAAAATTCAACTGAGCTTTATTTTCATATATTGCTTTAGCTGTATAGCTTACATTATTTGGGACCTGTAACTAGAGAAAATGCACATATATGGCTGGCTTGCTTGGAGCATAAACTTACAATTTGTGAAGTATAAAAATGTATTTAGAATTTATTTTCTTAATAGTCAAACACTACAGGAAGTTTTTATGTGTACTTCAGTCAAGGAAAACTAGAAACAGAAGCTTGAGAAAATTCTTGACAAAAGTCTATTGTGGACAGAGTGTGGTGGTGCTTTTGAGTTTTGTACTCTGACCTAATCCTAATTTGCTTGCAGTCTATAACCAAATTTGGTTCATTCACAGTTGATGACCGGCCAGGAGAGCAATGGATTAGTTTGAATAGAAAATTTGGTCGGACTGAGGATATTAAAATTGAGGCGACCATGTTTGATGATTCTATTCCTGTTCCAAAATCTGTTGGTGATATGGGGGAAGACGTTCAGCTCCACATTACATTCATTGTCAATATCTCTAAGGGTGATGATGGTGAAGTCATGGAGATCATGTGCTCAGCTTGGCCTGATAGCATAGAGATCACAAAGCTTTACATCCATCAGCATGGCAAGATGCTAGCAGAGCCTTATTTAGGACCTGAGTTCAAGTATGGTGATTTACATTCAGTTGGTTTTAGCATTCTCGTAAAATATTAAAAGTAAATTGTGTCTTTCTAATTTACTGGCATTTGACAGACACTAATTTTTCTTAAACACAAGTAATTTGATACTTGCATTGGTCCAGTTTTAATTTTGACATCTAAAAGAAAAAATAAATAAAAGCTGCATCCCATGGGATATATCCCTTGTCAAATTCCTTATTCCTTTCAAGATTTTCAGATCTTGTGGTAATTCTCATTGGGGTCTTGTTTGGTTGCTTGCAGGGAACTGGATGATGAATTGCAAAACTCACTTTATGATTTTTTGGAGGAAAGAGGTATAAATGATGAACTTGCTGTTTTCTTGCATCAATACATGAAGAACAAAGATAAAACTGAGTTTATTAAATGGATGGAAACTGTGAAATCTTATATTGAGAAGAAATAAATATTCCCTTTGCGAATGTTTCGTCTGGCATTTTTGTTGTCTTAACCTGTTTTGTGCATTGGCTATCTGATGCAGGGGCAAAAAAAAAAAAAAGTTTACTGTTAATTAAAGTTGTAGATAAATTTGGCAATTTATTTATTGCTGGATTAATAGTCCCACTATTTAGGAGTATTTTGATTTTGTTCTTGTTAGGTTTTATTTGAGTTTTGAGTTAGTATTTATTTTGAATTTATTCTGACTTAATTGTTTATAGGAGTAGGATCCATGGAGGTCCATGTCATTATATATATCCATCTAATTTTTTATGAGTCAGATTTCAGATTTGAATACACAGCATAGAATTATTCAAGACAAATTTTTTCCTGGATAAACTAGAAATTTGATCCAAATTTTCCATATTCTAATTCATAAAATTATTTTCCCAATTTACCCGCTCCCGACATCAATTTTTATAGAATCCATCATCTCATATATTCATCATAGGTAGGAATCCATTATTCTCTTATAGGATATTCCATGTATATAAAAAATCTCCTTAGTTGGGATATTCAACATAGACAGGTGGTAAGCTCCAATCTAGAGAACTCATAAAAAATTTACATGAACATATGTATAGATTAAGATACAAACACCAATCCTACTGCTATTGATATAAAGACAGGATAACTTCAAAATAAATCCCAAGTAAAAGAAGAGAAACATAACCTAGACAAAATAGTGTTAAAACAACCTAAGCAAAGAGGTTTTTTTCCTAATGTGAAGTTAATAAAATTCCAGGACCTAAACACCTAAATCTGCAAATTGAACAACCCTGAATGCGAAAGCTGCTTTTTCTTTAACTCTTCTCTTGTTTGTTGGAAAACCGACATTGCTGTTGGAATAGCTGGTTATGTAGCTTTATGAGGAATTGGATTGGCCACCAGAATATAAGTTTAGTTTGTCTATTCTAATCATCTATACTCCGCAGCAAAGTCTTTTACATTACATTAGTCTTTTCCTATGTGTTAAGCTACTACCAGAATGAGTTTCAGAGGTAAGTTTCAAGTTGTTTCATAGCTGTGAATGGTCACTGAGGTCCTCTGATGTAGGGATCTGGAAATCCAAATTGCTTGATTTAAATTCTTCCTAGAAATTGAAGAGATTCTTATTAACTATTTTTTCTCTATGTTATAAAATATGATAAGATTTTTAACAATGTGTAAAATATGATAATGCTTGGTAGAACAATTTTGAAATACAACATGATTGGTTTTGCTATCTCACTTAACTTGGACACACTGTGTTCTGGTCAAGTTCATGTTTAATTATGAAATTTTTTTTCTTCTTTGATCTGGTACTCTTCATACATACATATATCTATAAGCTGAAGCATTAAACTTGAGTTTTGAGTTTATATGTATGTATATAAACTTAATGGAGGAGGGTTAACTTGCAAATTGCATAAATGCGAATAAAATTTATGTTTTTGAATCCGAGTTTGGAATAGGTTCAAATTTATATATTATAATTACGGGTTAAGTTCATATTTTATGAAATCGGTTTTAAACTCGATTCATTGTCATCTCTAAGTGAAACAAATATATTGATGGTTGAATGAAATACCTCAAAAAGCTTACATTTTTATTCACTTACATAACCTATGGATAAAAATATAGCAAGTGCAATAAATTATAAGTTATAAATTTATCCAATAAGATGTTGTTTCTATATAACTATTAGATTTCAAATATATATATTTATAGTAAATATAAGAAATACTTCATTTACATGTCATAGTCTTTTTAGAATATGATGAAATATATTTACGTATCTTGTAGTATTTGGTTGCAGCTTTTGACTATAGTTTTTCTGAATACTAAAATACTTTGTAACAAAACATAAAAAATTTTAATGTACTTTCAATCAAAATTAAAATATGCTTTTAATATATATATATTATTGTTTAATTTAAGTCCCAATTTTTTTTTAAAAAAAAACAAAAAACAAAAAGAAAAGATGGGATAAAGCCAGTGCAACACGAGAAAAAATGACAGGCTAGCGCAATTAACACGTGGCAACAACCCACAGTGTCCCGATTCACTTAACTGGTGACAGGCCTGTCACCTATTACAATATTCCTTAGTTAATCTCTGATTTTGTAGTTCTAGGTTAATTAACTGTCATCATAATATGATTCTGATTAACTTTATAATCCTGATTCCACCCAAAAGCTTATCGGATTAAATGATTAATCTGATTTTTTTGATGGGACCCAACAAACCCACATGGACCCCACTCATTCAATATCTCTTTAGGTAAGAAATCAACCCTACACAGATCTTTCCCACAATTTTTAATTGGGAAAATGATGTTGATGTCTTAGCTTAGACTTAATGTATGCATCACTCATCTCCTCTCTCATATACTACAATATATACATACATACATACATACATACATATATATATATATATAATCTCTATCTTTCCAAACATAAAACACTCGATACATACATGTGAATTAATAATTTTATAGTATAACAAGTTGTTTAAGTATAATACAATAAGTCATTTATATTTGTCATCGTTAACATATTATGTTTATTATTTAAACAATACTTACTTAATAAAATATATATTTTTATTAAAAAATAATATGTAAGTATCTATTAGAATGATAATTTGATATTATAAAAATTTATTATATATATAACATCATGATTTTTTTTTTTATATAAAATAAATTTTAAAATATAAATATTAAGTTTTATGTTTTAAGGAATTCATTTAAAATGTTTATAAAAACAATTTGTAAAGAAATTATTCAAATATTTAATATTTATCTAAGGTCTATTTATTCAACCACAAGTGGATCAAGGATGTTGGCACGAGGACAAATCACAACCATCCGATTGGTATACATTGGAATGGCATGGACCATATGGTGTTGAACGACGTACGCAACACTTTCTCCGGTTGTATGAAACGACAATGGAAAAAGACCAAAACGCAGTACTGTGGACCACGTAAGGGAAACGTGCAAGACTTTGACGAATCGTACGTTTGATTAAAATAGGAAGTAACGATCATCACTCTCTACTAAACATAATTAATTAATTAATTGATTAATTAATTAATCCTATCCATATTAATATCCAGCATGAATATTTATTCCCACTATTCAAAATTTGAAATTTAAACAGCAATTAATTAACAAATTAAATTAAATTGGAAATGGAATTAACCCATTAATCAAAATTAAACGCACGCAAATTCCTCGCTGTAAATAATCACTTGGGTGTGAAATCAGTATTCGAAGGCCTTTTTTAATTTAAAATTAAAAGGGTTTCAAAATTTTTGACTGTATTATTTAAAATTTAAAATTTTATAGTACCAAAACTCATATAAAGAAAATGTATTTGTAATTCATTCAATACTTTAGTTGTAATTAAGATTTATATATATAATATTCTCTAATCAGATTAGGTACAAACAAGCCAAATTACATTTACAGGCGATCATAAATAATATTCCAACCAAATACAGAAGCTGAGGAGTCACTTAATTGAAATAATCAAGAACAATTTAGAAATTAAAAAAAAAAAAGTAAAAAAAGGTAATAAACAAATGTCGAAAAGAAGAAAAGAAAAAAGTTAAATTTACCAGAAAAAGTTAAAAAGTAAAAGAGAAAAACAAGTAATTTTCAGAGCTTGAGAGACAAGTCAAGCTTCTTCAATTCATCTTGCTTAGTCTTCAAATGGTTATCCCACCGATACCCACCAATTATTTCGGTCCCTGAAGAAAACCCATTTAATGATCTCCGAAATCTTGCAGTAGATGGAACAATATTCTGTAAATTGCCTAGCCGGCCGGTTGCCGGAGGTCTCGCCGTCGACGGCCATGCTACAGTGAAGGTTGATGACGAAAATGATGGCTTGTGGATGACGGAGTGAAGCTGAATTCCCAGTGAGCCATGCAGAGGAAGAATGGAGTAACTATTAGGGTTTCCGAATGAGAAACCGGCGGCTCCGGTGACTCGGTTTCCTCCACGTTTTGCCAGCGTCCTTTCTCGCTTGTGAGCGTTTTGGTGACCGCCTAATGCCTGTGAACTGTAGAATTTCCGGTGGCAGAAGTTGCATGAGAAGACTCGAGGCTCAGCCGTTTGATTATCTTGATCATGAGGAGGAGTTTCCGAGAAGTTCTTATCTTGATGATCGAAAGAATCAATGAGATTGAGTTCTTGACTTGAATATTCTTTACTGGAGTAGAGACTTAGATCCAGTTTAAGATCAGCTTCTTCGTTAACCGCATCGTCTTCTTCGTGCGGTAATTGTTTTGTCCTTTGGTTTGTCTCAGTGTCCGCCATTGAAGGGTTGAAGCAGGAGGCAGGGATTACGTTTGAAGTTTCGGAGGAAGATGGCTTTGGTTTTGGAGGATCCATGAGGAGAAATAATAATTTTGGGGTCAGAATTTTCCTCTTCGAGTAGGGACGACATATATATATATAGATAGATATATGGATTTAAATACCAACAGATCCACTAGTGAAAAAGTACAGTACTATATCAATACAAGACATGCATATGTATACATATATGTATATGGGTTAATAAATGCTGATTTCTGCTATCTTAAGAAAAAAGGGTATCCACCACTGCTTTGCAGTGACTTATCTTGATGAATCCTAGGTAGTATATACACACACATTTATATATATATATATATATATATATATTTGTAACAATTAGAGAGGGAGAGGGAGAGTTAGAGAGAGAGAGAGAGAGAGAGAGAGAGAGAGAGAGTTGTTGAGCAGTGTGAGGGAAAGTCATGAGGAACGCCATATATATCTTTTTCTTGCAATATATGACCTACATAATATATATATATATATGTATACATATGGTACATTCATGTTTTACATCTGATTAACAAAATCTAAATAATATAAAATTCTCATATCACCTTTAGGTTAGGATTCCAATATATATATATATATCTATTATCAGCAGCCGTTTTTGTTACGAATTAATTAGCTATATATATATATATATATATATGAATTCCAAAGAAGGAGGAGGATCTTTACTGTGATATCTTCACAAAAAAAGACCAGCATCCATATCCTCCATTAAGACATACACATACATATACACTTGTATTAGTCGTACAGACAGTGACTTGTCCTTGGACCAACCTTGTATATGTATATATATAGCTCAATAGTTTCCAGTGTACTGATTAAAATATTTAATATCGTCTACATGATTAATTTCTTTCTAGTTTAGGCGACCCACCAAATACAAGAGTGCTAATTTTGTGTGTATATACATATATATATATATATAGCTCAATCTTAAAACCTAAAGTCTTAATAAAATCCAAAGCCAAGCCTTTTAAATCAACTCAAATCCAATCAGGCCCAACTCAAGACAACCCGTAAACCAAACCCCTTTGGAATTTTTTTTTTTTCAATCTTTTTTAAAACCCTTTTAAACCAACCCTAAAAAATTTCATAATTTGGCTTTTCCGGTTCAAAACCGAACCGACCGATTAAGATTAATTAGTTCACTTTTAGTTTTGTTGCATTGGTTCGTCAATTAATTTGGTTTTGAGAATCTTTTTACCTATCTGACTGAAACTAATCAATACTTTTCTTTAAGCGCAATAGTTAAAGAATGAGAGAGATTGATGAAGGCAAGGGAAATTGTTAGGATGATAGTTTCTATGAGGCAAAGAAATCTTGAAATTTTGTATTATATTTGATATATATATATATATATATTAATTATCGAAGTATATAAAATTTAAATTTAATTAAAAAAATAATGTAGAAAGAAATCATATTACTAAAATTGGAATAGTTTCTTTATTATTTCCTCTTGGTCCCATTGTGTTTCTTCCTTGACTCTCTCTCTCTCTCTCTCATTTATGATTTCTTTTCTTATAGAAAAGAGTCTTAAGGCCACAATTGAGAGCCCCCATCAATTTGAACTTTAGAAATAGTGGCTTGAAAGAAGCTTCCTTATACTTTCCAAATTACTAAGCTCCACTTGGTAAGCATAAAAAGATTTGCATCATGTCTATTACATCCATTATGTATGGCATAAAAAAAAATACAATATTAATGGATAGTAAATGCCAATGACCCTATATATAGTTTTGAAAAAATTAAATAATATACTATGTAACGCATTGTGAAGTTAATAGAACTTAAGATTATTATTAAAGAAAATAGATAACAACTCGAGTATATCACCTACTAGAAAATTAATAAATATTATTGATGTATTTAAATTTATAATATATAAAAAAACTTATGATTTGAATTAACTTAAAAAGAAAGTAATATAGACAAAAGTAGTTGTGATCACATATAAATTAGATACATTTCTTGGACAAATAAAAGAAGAAAGATGTCAAAGCAATAGACTTACATATAGTGGATGAAGGAATCCCATACTTTCCTTTTTCAAAAAACCCATTCAAGAAAGGCCAAAAAGTTTGCACCACCCATAAACTACATATAACCTCTCCTACCCCCGAGCCATTCCCATCATCACCTATTACTCCTCCCAACCTTAGTAGTTGTGTAGACAACGCCATGAGGTGTACCAGTAAAATAGTTGTTCCTGGAACGAAATATATAGATTCATCGAACGTGAACTTAGTTGCATCAGAGTCTTCAATACTTGAAATGGACGATATGTCCTTTTTTGTAACTACAAAGATTGTGTTAGACACCCCTAAAAGCTTAAGTACAACATCATATATCCCAAATAACCATGCACTTGTTTTTATTATTCTTGACATGTTCTGGTTAATTAACCAACATCGAATTGACATCCCCAAATTTAAATATTCTGATATAGTATATAAAATATAAATCACCAAAATCGAGACAGGAATGCACATTGCTATATCATCCACCTGCATGATTCACATATAAAAACACAAGATTTCAAGTTATTCATTATTTCAAACTTATATATGAAAAGTGTGAATTAGTAAAATCCTTTATAACATCTCGAAAAGAAAAGAAAAGTACCTTGGGTAAGAAATTGGAGTTGATAATGAGACAAAATGCAGGGAGAAAAACATAGGAGAGTTCAAAAATAGAACGTAAACCCCACGAAAGTAGCCATAGATAAGTTAAGCATTGCCTGACATGGAGCTTTTTATTGACAACTCCAAGTATGGGATTGTTTTTACTAGCTAGGATTTCAAGCAATCCCGTTATCCACCTTTTTTGTTGGCTCATTGCCCTTGGTACATCCTTGGGAGCACAACCTAGAAATGCTGGTGGCTCTGGGCATAAATAAATACTTTTCCAACCTTTTTCATGAATCTTCAATCCTGTGTTCACATCTTCTGTAATAGATCCATAAATCCAACCAAACTGCATAAATAATAGAATAAATTCAACGTGAATATTTTATTTGTTTTCTTTTTTATAATCGAATAATCTAATATTTCTTTTTAAACTATTTTTATTTACAAATATTTATAACTCTATTTTCTAAATAAAAATATTTTTTTATCTTTCATTTTTAAATTTACATATATTTTATACATATCAGCATACAATTCTGACTATTAAAAGGTGGGATGTCGTGTGTTTGTATATTAATTATTAAAAAAAAAAACTATAATTTTCTTCAAAAGCTCCATGAGATACATCTAAATTTCTCTACTTAAAAAAATTATACAAAAATTACTTTCTTTAGAAACTATTACATAAAATTTTTTCTCACTAATTTTATTAAAAACAATTGGCTTATATTATACTATTGCTATTACGTACGTATCATTTAATTAATAGAATATATAAAATTTCGTTTAAAAATTATTCAAAATACGGAATAGAATATACTTAAAAGGAAGTCGTAAGAGAAATTAAATCAATGATACTAACATTTTTACCCCAGCCAGTACCATATTCATAGGTACTGTCTCCAAGTCGATGTGCTTCCTCGAGAAAATTCAAAAGATTGTTGGAACAATTTGTCTTCCCTTTCAAAGCCTCCACCACTGACTTCACAAACTCCTTTGACTCTCCAAATTCGTTGCTTAGTCTATCTTCCCCCAACTTCTCTGCACATATACATGTATACACACACACACACACATGCGAGGTGCATATGTCGAGTCAATCATCGTTTCATGGGGGTGAATAAGTAGAAATCTTGATTCATAAAACATAAAGAAAATGGCCAGAAATCTAAAGAAGAACTATATATAACCAAGTACATACATTAATACACACACACACATATATATATATATATCATACCATTTATTGGAGACGAGAGAGAATTTTCTCCTCCAATTTGGACATCATCTGGCCATAAACCATATATGACTTTTCGTCTATGGAAGCATCCTGACCCCTGGTAGACAGGTCCTTGACTTCCTTCTAATCCCGGCATGAAAGCCTGAAGATATAGATTATACATATATATAGCCCAGCTGGCTATGTAGTAGTAACAATTTGTAACTAAAACCCAAAACTTTCCATTGATAAAATTTAAGTAATATTTTTGCTTCTTTCTTAAACTTATGCAATTATTAGGAGGTATAAATTTTTAACTCATTTATGGTATAAATAATTGATTTAATATGTAATTTTTTCTCTTTTAAAATAATTGGTCATGAAGAAATTATTTATTTCTCATTAATTAATTACCATAACAAACTAATTAAGAAAAATTAAGGACTTAAATAATTAAGATTAAATTAAATAGAAATTTTGGAGCACTCACTTTCTGCATAACAAGTAATTCATTTTCTGGACTATCATGGAACAACTGTGGACTTTGAACAAATGCACAATCGATCTCAGAAGTCGAACCAAGCAATAAACACATCGCAAGACGAACAATCTCTGGATTATTGACAAACATGTCGCAGTCTACGTTCAACATAAATGGTGCATTTGTCATCAACCCGGATACTCTTGTCTGCTCATTAGATTAATTACGAACCAAAAATAAAATTAGCAGATAAAATGAATAAATTTAATAACAAAATTTCATGATTTGTAACGAATATATATTATTCTAGTAATTAGAGCAAAAACTTATTAATTTCTTTTTTTTTTTCTGATCTTTCTGAGTTATTGTATGAATTAGAGTGATTAAAGAATGTTACCATCATGCTAATATCAAGATTTTTTTGCTTGTTTACTCCATTGTTGGGTTTTGTAAAGATTTTTCACCAAGTAGCTGAAGGGTCCCTCATTTGTTCTTTAAAGATTTAAAGATTTAACTCTTGAAAAATGTTTCAAGGTGTTAATAATTGGTCCATACTCAGTGATTTGTATGAGATTACAAGACTAACGTGATTTGATGAAAGTTGGAAGTATAAATAATTGGTTCATACTTATTTTTTATATGTGGATTAAATAGAATTTTAGTATTAGCGCGAGCACACGTGAGATAATAGAGTTCGAGGGTGATCTTTCCTATTGTAGCTTGACTTCAAATCTTAGTAATTCATCCAAATATCCTTGGTTAGTTTGGAAGGTCTCTCACAAGCTGAGCACTGATGGTTCTATTCTACGTGACACTGAACCTGTGATTGCTGGCTACCTCATCAAGAACGACTAGGAGAATTAACTAACTTCATGAGTAATTCAGATACTATCCGAACCTTATTTTTCGAGTCTCATGGTGTTTTTATGGGTCTAAAGCTCATCTTGAGTGTTGTTATTATGAAGTGCAATATCGAGGCTGACTTCATCCAAGTCAGACGCCTCCTCTAACAACCGGTCCTCCACCACTTTGATGACATTAGTGTAGAAAATCCAATCAGGAACATGTTTTGTTTAGGTTGTGACGTTCAACTCTTCTATATTTATCTTGAAGGTAACACTCTGCATAAATTATCTAGTCCATTGGGTTCATTACATCCCCTTAACTAGCTCGATGTTTCTGAGGCTCTGATAGATTTTTATGTTTATTTATATTGGATCATTTTGACATTGGATGAGCCTTTCTCAATAGATGTTTAATTTATGAAACAATTTTTGGCATAATTTCTAACATTTTCTCTAAAGAAAGTTACTCTATAAGAACAAATAGGGAAACTTATACTAATTTTTATCGCATGTTAATGATTTGAATGGTTTTGATATAAACATTAATGAAAGTATAAAAACTAAGTTGCATATGTTTTTCAAAATTCTTATATAATTAAAGAGTTTAAGAAAGCGTTCATAATAAAAGTACTTGATTAAATATCTTACCAATACATTCATGGCGCCTGCTTTGTAGTTGTGTGGATGATTTGGTCGCTTTTCACGAGATATGTAAATTAAATGTGGCAACCCATCAACTACACCTTCCTTGTTTTCCCATATCACCTGCATCCGGAATACAAATATATATATATATATATATATGATAATATAAAATTATCTGTAATATTCTCCTTTAAAAAGTTATTTGTAACATATATACACAGCATCAATGCGTATACAAATATAAATTTTAGTAGAAATACCATATTAATATGTATAACTTTAAATATATGCATATATTAAATCAAATGACAAATAGTGTCAATACCTTAACTATAGTGGGATGGTTTTGACGTTGAATGCCAGAGAAAATAGCCAAGTCTTCATCAAAATCAGGTGGAAAACCCTTCTCAGCTGCAGCTTCTAATTTCCAACAAAGCTGCTCATATTCCATCTACAAATCAACAAAAACTAATCAACAACATATATATATATATATGTCATATAATTTATTTATGAAATATATAATTTTTTATTATTAAAAAGTACATAAAAAATAATAATGACCTTCATTCTCTCCCATTCTTGTTGAAACTGGTCTGCTTGATGAGCACTAAATGGTTGGGATAAACATGGAGAGTTAGAGGTGGAAAAATGCTTAAAGGGAGCTCTGACTTGAAGATTATACTTCTTGCAAAAAGGAATCCAAAGCTTTGCAAAAGGGATTGTTTGGATGAGAGAATAATAGATGAGAGGTGAGCAGCCATCATCAGACACATACAAACAAAGCTTGTTTGCTGGATAATTCACCGCCACTAAAGACAGCACGGTGTTTATAGTGATTATTGGTGGTTCCAGCTCTGGGTCTGCCGTTGTTACAAACATGTCCACTCCTGGAAATTCTCCCACCCTTTATGTATATACACACACACACACACACATCAACAGAAAAGAAAATTATTAGCATGTCAACTTACGTAGAGGCAAGGAAATCTAAAGGAAGAAAAAGAGAGAGAGAAAATATAGTATGTTTAATTATTTACCTTTGGTCAAGGTTCTGCAAGTAAGTTTTATGATGAGCAGGAGTCCATTTGATGGTGGTTGTGAGAAACCAGAGGAAGGTGAAGTATGACTCACAGAGAAAAGCAAGAAGCCAAGCAACTCCATGGTTTTTTATGTTTTGAAGACGATAGAGAAGGAGAGAAAGAAGAAGAAGGAGGAGAGTCAGATCCACACATCTTTTTATCGTGTTCTTCTCGTAAATCTTTTCACAAAGAGGCAACATACACCTGGTTTTCTCCATTACTCAAATCCAACAAGAAGAACAAGAAGACGACGACGAAGAAGAAGAAGATAGATTTTCAGGCTTCAGGCCAGCCTGCTATTGCATGATAATAATTCAGTGGCTTAAGTTGCTCGTGTATCTGTAGACATAAATACACATATATAGATATATGTCTGTGTGTATGATAGAATGATTGTCATCATGAAGCTACGGATGTGATTACGCAATAGAATATTAATAAAAATTTAAAAGAAAATTATTAAACAAAAATATATGAAAGAATTTACAAAAATGAATCAAGTCTAATATACTTTAATATTGTACTGTTAACTATTTATGTTTTTTAAACATAAATTTATTTGTTTCATAATTAAGTGGTATACACAAATTTATTATAACAAATCTCTTATATTAAGGTTAAACATATTAATTATCAAGTTAATAAAATTTATTAGTACAACTAACCACTTGTTAAATATGTGGTGAAGGCTTCTAGTATATTCTGACTTCTATATTTTTTAGGGAGTTTCATAGAAGATTACATAAATATGGAATAATTTGTCTCTATACATGTGTGTATATAGGGTCTATACAAACATATGTAATTAAGACTTGTAAGCTCGTGATGTCTTAATAGCTTGGAAGAACACGATTTTAGTCGAAAAAGTTTCAACACCAATAGTAGACTGATGTGACAAATGAATGGTAACAATAATTTTTGTAATATAATAATATATGATAGTAGACTGATGTGACAAATGAATTTCATCTTGTATTTCCCCACTACTATCATATATTATTATATTACAAAAATTATTGTTACCTACTCACTAAGTTAAACTAAAAGTAATGTTGATAATTATGTAATATTATTTTTTAAATTTATAAATTATATAATAAAATTTAAATATTATCAAAATGTATTAGAATCAAAAGCCAATATGATTTTCTCACCAAGAAAATTTTCTCAATTGAGGTAATTTTTAGATATTCATATTATTTAGTAAAATTTTTAGATATACAAATTATATTTGAGTCTAAATTTAAATTCAACTTTTAAAATAATTATATATTTTATAATTAAATCTAACTAAAAGTTATACTATATAATTAAGAATTCTTCTGAAATTTTAAAGTTCAATTAATAATTTATTAATTATTTAATTAAAAACTCTACTAAAAATTAATTTAATTCATAATAATAAATGATATAATTAGTGATAATATAATGTATTAAATGTCACGCTCCGACACTCATGTTAGACAGTATGAGACAAATACAATAGTGATGTTTCAATGCAAAATTCATTTATTATTTTCACTTCACATGTTTCTGATCGAATTTCTGAATTTATTTAAATATCATATGCAATTTTCAAATGTATATCCGCATACTCTCGAAAGAATATATATACATTCGAATATCAATCATTATATCGAAACATAATTACATACACATGAAAGATCACATATACACTTGAAATGTCATTTCTATAGTTTCATCGCACGATGTCGTTAATGTCGTCATTGAGGAGACCCTATCGCATGGATAACACACACACACAAATTTTACAATGATAACAGCATGTACGTTTACTAGGTGATCTACGCTCACAAATATTTATCCACATCTGGATTAAGTTTTAGACTCTATCTATGTACAGGTTCATCATGCCCACTGAACTTCAACCACACACACATACTCTCTTCTTCGATTTAGACTAAACGAGAAGGTATACAGAGTCCCTACCCTATTCATTCATATCATTTCATTCTAAAATTCTTATCTACTTACATCTTATTCTATTTTTCTCTAAATTTTATTTAATTGATCATTTCACAGTCTCAATTATTTTTTTTCCTTTTTATTTTTACTTTTTATTTTATTTTATTTTATTTTTAATTTTTCACTTAATTAAGAATTTTCTTAATTTTTAATTTCGTATCTTATCAAGTTCTAAATAAATTCTCAATCTTTTGGGTCTGTTGTCTGAGTTCGTTTCCTTATAAATTTTCAATTGCTTAGGTTTACTAGTTATAAATTTTAGTTCTGTTTTTTATCGAAAATTAGGTCAGTGTCCATTCAAATTTTAAAATTCATAATTTTTATAAAATAGATGTACCTTTAAAAATTCGAACTCGGTTGAGATTTAAAAATACTTACACTTCTACACATTTTTTGGGATATGTTTAAATGTCTTAGTTTCCTGTATGCACACAACATAAATTAATTAATATACTATGAAATACTAAAAATTAATTAAATCATATCACAGGTTTCAACGATCACTTAATGGAAAACCGAAAATTATTGGGATTTGTACTTGAAAAATCTTTCAGCTCCCAGTTCAGCGAATCAGATTTTTATTTTCAGGAAAAGACTTTTCAGCTTCTTGAACGGCGAATCAGAATCCCAACAGGTGATTTCGGTCACCATTCCTGCAGAAGACCCTTCGACTTCTACGGTGGGTGGATTTTCCCATTTTCGAGAAAACCTTCTCAGTTCCCGCGCAGGTGGGTGACCTGGCCAAGCTTATGCGGCCAGCCCGACACCGTCCCACTCCACTGCCACTCAAACCACCATCAAAACTCGAAAATATAATGGTTTTACCTTCAGTGTGAGTGATTTAACCTCGGTTTAGCTCCCGGTCGTTTTCCCTCAATCACCCCGTGTCTTTTTAATTCCAAAATCTGCACACACACACACATATACGAACACCAGTTTGGTCAAAAATACAAATCGAAAGAGAAAAGAACCCACCTAGCTCGGGTGCGGTGCTCGCAAAATCCAAACA